ATCACATAAAGTTTCCAGCCACTGGTTTCTGTTGTCATATGGACCTTAACCGGCTAGTCTATTCTTCCTTACATGGCTCGAACCAACAGTCAAAAAGTTTGTGGAGTGATGCAATGTTCCAGTCTAGTCGTCACAAGTCTATTCCCCTTCTAAACCTATTTTAGATAGTGTTGCATGGAGGGGCAAACAGTGACTAGGCATGCATAACACATGCCCCAGTCAGCCAACTCAGTCGATGAAGGTGCACAATCGCATCAACTGACTTTCCTCTCCTTAAAACTCTACACTGGATTGATATCTGTCTTACTAATCTGATGGACACCATGAGACACGCCTGTTGCCTGTATTCATTGATCATCGATGAAATGATGCCGTCGTAAAAATACAAAAACAAAATACAGACTAAACTCAATAATACCGTATCCATAAGCTGAATGCTACTGAATCAAGAAATGTGAAAACTGTAAGTTGGTTGGAGACAATAGACAGGAAATTGTACTCAAAGTACATCTTAAGCTTGTTGGCACTCATAAGCAAAGCGTAACTCCAACTTAGAAGGAACTGATGTTAACTCTCAGGTTCGAATCGGCATCATCCAATGTCCCAGTCAACTAAGTTGCTGCTGAGCCATACGAGTTACGAATTACTGGATTAGAAAAGTTGATTACTTCAACCTAATTATTATGATGACAGATGCATGTCGACTTCTAATCATAGGTGTATGTGAAATGTGACCTATATATAGTGGGAGATCTATCTTCCGGGTGGATACCATTTAGTACCAAGGCCCATACAAATCCTCTCCTTCGAAGTTAATGTCATGATGAATACCAATGATGGCCAGCCACCAGAAAATGACCACACAAAAACCTTCTTATGTGATGTAATCAGACAGACAGAATCAACGTACGACCTCGCATGCACGTCTGTAGGTTCAAGTTGCCACATTTCACAGTAGTACAAAAAGAACAAGTGGATAGGAAAAGAGTGAATTCAAAGTAGACAAAGTTGTGTAAGAGAATAAACAGTCTGAAGATAAAGGTTAGTATGAATATCCAAGTTTTAAAAGATGTCAACAAGTGACTAATGTTCAGCCATATCACCAAGATTTGCCAACCGCTGATTCTTATCGTCTCGGGGACGCCAGCCAGATAGTCCACATCTCCCGCACAAGGTTCAGACCAACAGTCTGGTCTGGCTAACCTAAGTATTCTTCCAACCTAATCTAGCCTGCCATAGCATGGCATATCGAGGTAGGCGGTGACTCCGCATGTGCATGTCCAGGCAAGAAGATTGACAACCTCAACAAAACCGTCTTACCTAGTATCCTTCGTTTGACCTCAGTATAATCAGGTGATAGAGTCTTAAACATACGTTTAATAGTAAACTGCATGTTAGTACGCTAGTGTCATAAAACCTTGAATTTTCCACTTATCAATCATAGGAAACCGTTCTCCGATCGACTTGTAACTTATAATACATAGTATGTAGTCAACGCAACCGAAAGAAATATGACTTGAGAAAAAACTGTACTTCTAACAACACATACACATACACACAGACTTCTGCAACATACTATCTGAAGTACGTTGATTATCTCACAAAAATACAAATCAACATTCAGGTAGGTACTAACAAAATTTGCCTTTAATAGTAGTAAGCCAGTTGAGAACTATCATTCATGTAATTACTTTTATTTATTTGTTTATTTTCAGTTATCACCATCATCATAGTAATAATAATAATAATAATGGTAGTAGTAGTAGTAGTAGTGGTAGTAGTAGAATAATAACAACAATCGTTGGTATTGAAAGTAAAGATGAGAGGGCAACACACTAGTGTTGTAAAGGTTGCTCAAGATGGATATTTGAGTAAGCGGACAACAACAAGAAAAAGAAACTATAATAGCTAAATGCACAAAGAAAAACCGACATAAAAAGAAGCACAATTACAAAGATACAAGGTGAATAAGGTATACAAAAAGAATGAACTCGTATGTATGCATATCTGTGTGTGACCATGCGTGTTTTATGTGTACATGACCAGCTAAATAATCTCATCTTCTTCTTCATTATTCAGCTGAACAACATGAGCATGTATTGAAAATAATAGGAATAACAACAAAGGCTAGTAAAACAAAATACTTGAATTCTTAATGCAGAAGAACAGTGCAGGGGGGGGGGGTGAATAAAAATAATAATCTACCATATGTTGTTGTTGTAAAGCTGCCTGGACGAAACAGGGGGAAAGATAGAGAGAGAGAGAGGTAGAGAACATCAATTGAAAAGAAATAAATACGTCTATGGTCCCTAACAGGAGGTAGACGAGAGAGAGAAAGGAAGGAATATAGAGAGAAGAGAACCAAGAGAAGCGAAGGCATAAAGAAATAATAATAGAACAAAATAGATGTTTGTGCGAGAGAATAATTAAGTCTATTCAACAATAGACTAAGGATAATATGCATATACAATTAATAATTCCTGAGTGTTGAATTGTTTCGATTATGTATTTATATACCATGATAAAAAATATTCTTCTAGCTGAATTTAAGTTTATTGTACATTAAATTTTAAAATATCATTCTTCCTCTTTTTTTAATAGAAAAAAAAAAGTAATAATAAAGAGGAGAAATGATGAAGTAGAACAAAAAAAAAAGAGAGAGAAAAAAACTAATAGAAAATTGTATTTATTTATCTACTTATAAACCTATTTTACATTTAAATATACATATAATGTAGAACTCTGAGGTAGACTATTTAATTGTAATGATTAATATGTCACAATTAACAATAAACCATTATTGTTTAAGGTGTAGAAATGATCCCTTATGGGAATTGAAATAGACACATCGAATGAACATTGACAAGTAAATGTAGGATAGAGAGAGAGAGAGAGAGAAAGAGAGATGATGTAGGCAAACTGCCGTTGGCATATACACACACACGTCCGTGCCAACATACAATCGTAGAAGGGTACCCCCTTAGCACAATTACATTCCTATTGGCAGTCTTGATACGTATATGTATACGTTGTATATTTAACATAAATAAATAGATAGATAAGATTATATCGAGACTAGTAATGATTTTATGACAATGAGTAGTATTTCAACCAATGGTTTGGTGTTTCTCTCCCATTCACATTCTTATACTTTTCCTTACTGATTTTTTGTGTTAGACTGTGAATAAAAAAAATTGCTTGTTAACCCTTTTTCTTCGAACACAATGCGCTAATATTCTTCAAAATCGATTTTTAGCACAAATTGTCTGCAAACTCTCAGATGCGCATACCTTATTTATGTACTGTTGAAGTTGGAGAGACATGTTTGAAGAATTACCTCATTCTGTTACACACGAAGTAATAGGCTTTGATTCTTCTTTTTTTCTCTTCTTCTATACACTCACTAGGTCTTTATCCCTAGATTGCAATCATTATATAGTGTTCTTCTCTTTCTCGTCCTCCCTCCTCTCGCATTCATACAGGCATACTTAGCTTCTCTCTCAGGTGGTGTTTTTGTTATCTCTTTACTCTTACTTTATTTGTATAGAACATGTGTGAGTATTTCTGGACTTGGCAACGAAGAGTTGTAAAATGCAGTTGCTTGTGTATGTATGTATGTATGTATGTATGTATGTATGTATGTATGTATGTATGTATGTATGTATGTATGTATGTATGTATGTATGTATGTATGTATGTATGTATGTATGTATGTATGTATGTAGGTAGGTAGGTAGGTAGGTAGGTAGGTAGGTAGGTAGGTAGGTAGGTAGGTAGGTAGGTAGGTAGGTAGGTAGGTAGGTAGGTAGGTAGGTATGAGCGGTAAAGTCTCTAGCCCCGCGTTGCCAAGTCCAGAAATACTCACACATGTTCTATACAAATAAAGTAAGAGTAAAGAGATAACAAAAACACCACCTGAGAGAGAAGCTAAGTATGCCTGTATGAATGCGAGGGGAGGGAGGACGAGAAAGAGAAGAACACTATATAATGATTGCAATCTAGGGATAAAGACCTAGTGAGTGTATAGAAGAAGAGAAAAAAAAGAAGAATCAAAGCCTATTACTTCGTGTGTAACAGAATGAGGTAATTCTTCAAACATGTCTCTCCAACTTCAACAGTACATAAATAAGGTATGCGCATCTGAGAGTTTGCAGACAATTTGTGCTAAAAATCGATTTTGAAGAATATTAGCGCATTGTGTTCGAAGAAAAAGGGTTAACAAGCAATTTTTTTATTCACAGTCTAACACAAAAAATCAGTAAGGAAAAGTATAAGAATGTGAATGGGAGAGAAACACCAAACCATTGGTTGAAATACTACTCATTGTCATAAAATCATTACTAGTCTCGATATAATCTTATCTATCTATTTATTTATCTTAAATATACAACGTATACATATACGTATCAAGACTGCCAATAGGAATGTAATTGTGCTAAGGGGGTACCCTTCTACGATTGTATGCAGGCACGGACGTACGCCTTGGTGGGCGTGTATGTTGCAACGGTAGTAAAAAGTTGTCAAGGTGAATCTAGTTGACAGGAGGAAAGAAAGAAAAGAATGTTAGTGAGAAGCGATGACACACACACACACACACGTATGCATCACAATCGTGTCATATGGTAGAAGGGAGGGGGAAAACAAAATCTATACAAACACCATGACACAAAAGAATAGATTCAAGGCATTCTCACAGGGAGGAAAAAGGCGATGATAAATCCTCCCTGTGAGAATGCCTTGAAGCTATTCTTTTGCGTCATGGTGTTTGTATAGATTTTGTTTTCCCCTTCCCTTCTACCATATGACACGATTGTGATGCATACGTGTGTGTGTGTGTGTGTCATCATTTCTCACTAACATTCTTTTCTTTCTTTCCTCCTGTCAACTGATTCACCTTGACAAGTGTAATAGTGTAGTAGTAGTAGTAGTGGTAGTAGTGGTAGTAGTAGTAGTAGTAGTATCAGTAATAAAATTGTTGCTATCAAAACGATTTGAGCTACCTGAGTTGATGTAACAGTATGTACAGATTAGAAAATGAATTAAGAAATGGGGTGGCGGCGATGGTACATGACTTTTGTGAATCAACTATTAACACAGATGAACTACTGGTGTTGTTGTTGTTCGGTAGGAAAATAGAAGAACATTGAGGAGCAGGAGATGATGATAAAGAAGGAGAGGAGGAATAAATACAATTTACAGTATTTAAATTACTACTAACAGTACTTGGTATGAATAAACTATTCCTATTGTTATCAAGGCAAAGGGATGAAGAAACTTCTGGATAGATAGAACTTTCATAAAGTGTTTCAACTCATTATCAACATCATTTAATGTTGCTACTGCTGCTGCTGCTGATGATGATGATGATAACAACAACGATGTCGACGACGATTGTAGTAGAGATGCTGGGTGATGATGAACAGGAGGAGGAGCAGGAGGCGGTGGCGGGACAACTTTTGAACTAACATTAGTGTAGGCATATTCATGTGTCGGTTGATGTGATGGTTGCATTGATGTGACAAGATTACAACCAGTCGACGATTGCGATGGTATTCGACTGCGTTTTGTTAACAACATTTCACTTAGTAAACTTTCATTCGGTATCTTAGCAGATCGGTAACGCATTAATAGGAAACTTTCCAATTGAAAGGCAAGATATTTTATCTCTGCTAATTCTAATAAAATTTGTCCATATCTATCCGGTGGTAAAAGATATTTATTTAGTTCATCCGATATACGATGAAGCTCATTTGCAGGATTATTCAATAATAGACGCAGAAATCGACGTGATCGTTTCAATAGGAAATGGGATAGTTTTCCTTGAATTTTTAAGACATAACTCAAATTGGATGTGAGAAAAGTATCTAGGGACAAAAGAGAGAAAAACAAAACCAAAAAACGCATATGTAAGTCTTTAAAAAGTTTCGATGAATGAAAAAAAGTTAACTTGAAACCATATTCATCACTGACAGAAAAAAAAAAGATGAACTAACCGGTAGTAGATAAACACAAATACGCAACACAACCAAATATGATGATCTACGAGATCCTACTCAATGTTTCAACTGGAAACTATGTATTCTTCTATTTTCGCAAATCACATTCTGCACGCAGCTCTAATGCTATTTGTTTTAGTGTTAACCACCGATGGAATCCAGGACGGGTGTTTTATGCTATTCGGGGCTCGTCAATTGGATGTACCTGGACCCCAGTGACTGATGTTGTTCTCACTGAGACTTGAACCCATCGCTTCAAGCACCAGAGCGTTACCTACTAAGTCACTGGGACACAATACCCACCTTTTGTGCAACGGGTATCAATTGTTGTTTCTGTACACTTATAGTTTCCCGCTGCTATACTGAGTTGAAATCCTCGACCTCTGTTGGCATATGGGCACCTATGTAGGTGTTTTGATACTGTTGGATATTCATTATGTTATATTCAACCCGGTGATTAGCAGTGGAATCCAGAACGAGTGTTTTGTTCCTATCTGTGATCGACTCGTCAAGTGAATGCACCGGCACTCCAATGTGATAATCTTACCACTGAGACTTATATCCAAGCACTAATCGATTCAAAAGACAGAGGGTTATGCACTGGGCTACTAAGATATGGCAGCAACCTCTTGGGCAACAGGTAGAAGTTATTATTACTTGTTGGTGGATTCGATAAACCCGATAAACCCAAATGGGACGAAACGTGCGTCCTGGATTCCATTGCTTGTCATCACCCAGAAAATAATATGAAAATGAAGCTTGAGGCAACATTGTAGGATGTGTTTAAGGAGTTCATAGGCAAAGACAATCCCAACAATTCGGTTGGAGACTCTAGGTGATATGCCTCAGAACTGATGTCACTGATACAGATGCATACACACACTTTAACCACTAAACTGAATCTCATCATTTTCTCATTCCTCCTTCTTCTCTTCTACTACTTTCTACTTCACTTGACCAATGTTTCTTCACTTTTTCATCTTTCGTTCTATTGCCTGGGTACTTGATGTGATGATATGTGATGTGGCAACTTGGATCGTTACGCAGTAACACCTGATCCTATGTTGATCTTGATGATATGAAGGTGAAATGAAAATTCGAACCAGCGACCATCACATATTTTTGGCCAGGTGCTCTACCAACCATTGTGAGCTATAAAATCTGTTTTTTTATTTCAATCATAAAAGCTTTTACCTGATTGTCATGTGAATTCCTTAACGTGTTACCACCATTCACTATAGTTGCTAAACCACAAATAATGATCAGAGTAAGATTTAATCCCGTGACCTGATTAACTACAAATTAAGTGCATAAATCAATGAATAATCATTCCAAGAGTGAGTGAGTTGATGAGTGAGATAAACTACACTTTTAAGGTCAGCTGTCATGTGATTTGATTATCAGCACATCCCCCTCCCCACTCCATACACATACACACACACACACACAAACACCCCTATAGTCTACTTGCATAGAAAAAAATGTTTTAATTCATTAATTTCAGTATTGTTGTGGTGTGATTAACTTCATCTCTATATTTTCTAAAAACCAAAAAAAAAATATTATAAAGTGTAATCATCATCAAATAAAAGTTGAAATTCCATTCTTAACCTCTTAAGGTCAAATAAATAAATAAATATCAGCAAGACACCTCCTTTAAGGTCATTTCAATAATCCACTCGATAGAGTAGTTATTTATCCAGTGGAAAGTAAGTTATTACAATAAGAAAATATTGTATATATATATATATATATATATATATATATATATATATATATATATATATATATATATATATATATGATACAATCACACAATTAAACAAATATACAGATGATGTAGACAATAGAAAAAGCCCCACCGTTGATTATATCTCTCAATCAGGTATCAGTAATTATATTCTCCTCTTAATCTCAATTTCATTATCAGTTTTGTAGTTAGTCTATTGAGAGCATGATTCACTTTCACAACAGTGATAGTGGTAGTAGTAAGTAAGTAAGTAAGTAAGTAAGTAAGTAAGTAAGTAAGTAAGTAAGTAAGTAAGTAAGTAAGTAAGTAAGTAAGTAAGTAAGTAAGTAAGTAAGTAAGTAAGTAAGTAAGTAAGTAAGTAAGTAAGTAAGTAAGTAAGTAAGTAAGTAAGTAAGTAAGTAAGTAAGTAAGTAAGTAAGTAAGTAAGTAAGTAAGTAAGTAAGTAAGTAAGTAAGTAAGTAAGTAAGTAAGTAAGTAAGTAAGTAAGTAAGTAAGTAAGTAAGTAAGTAAGTAAGTAAGTAAGTAAGTAAGTAAGTAAGTAAGTAAGTAAGTAAGTAAGTAAGTAAGTAAGTAAGTAAGTAAGTAAGTAAGTAAGTAAGTAAGTAAGTAAGTAAGTAAGTAAGTAAGTAAGTAAGTAAGTAAGTAAGTAAGTAAGTAAGTAAGTAAGTAAGTAAGTAAGTAAGTAAGTAAGTAAGTAAGTAAGTAAGTAAGTAAGTAAGTAAGTAAGTAAGTAAGTAAGTAAGTACTCAACTCTTCTTTAACCAATGGGATCAACAAGTTTTCCTCCTCACTCTATTCCATCTGCGAATGAACACATACCCGGCGACAATAGTCAATCTATGATACTTCAGATACAATCAATCTAGAACCCTGCACAGATATGCATCACTTCAAGTCGTTACAGTTTATAGAGAAGAGAGAAAAAGTGGATAGAAAAAATTGATATCAAAGTAGACGATGGTATATAGGAGGAAAAGCAATTTGAAGGTGAAAGTTAATGAAACTGTTCAAGTTTTAGCAGTTGTCAAATGGTAGGATATATCTGCTCCAAAAAACCTTGCCTGGTTAATTAGTTCACTAGTTACTACTAGCCGGTCCTAAGCCCGGATAGAGAGGGAAGGCTCGGCATAAGGCTCGCAACCCTACCCCGTAAAACCAATCCAACCGTTACAGAAACTTCAAAGCACAGACAAAATATATCAAATAAAAACAAACTTATTCCTCGCTGAAATCGGGTAGACGAAATGACACCGGTTAGTGGAAGCCTTCAGGAAGACAACTGGTCGATGTGTCTTCTCTCCCTAGATGAAAGCGAAAGAATGGGGACATGGAATGTCCGCACCATGTATGAATCTAATTTGAAGTAATCAGTGTGGAGATCTACTGCACTCCACTGCACTCAGCATAAAGCATGAGCAACATCCGGATTTTCAACACTAATATCAGTCAAGTAAGTCAGTGATTACATGTGATGGTTGAGAGACTTGGCGCGTCAGGAAAAGCATTTCCAACAAACTACAGACATACATCACATCGACAGCTGCTACCCACGCTCACCCGATACCGACACTGTGAAGATCAGATGGATAACCAGAATAATAAGAATAAACAAGGAACACGGAACTCTGACTGGTAAAGAACCAATCAAGAACCTATCGCCCGAGAAATATGCAGAAGGAGATAGTGGAGATGGCTGGGATTGGATTGGACAGACACTGAGAAGATCATTCGGGGACATCATGTGCTAGAACAGCCAGGTACTCGAGTGAAAGTCAAAGGGGAAACGACAAGTTGGGTGTCTGAGACGAGGGTGACATGGAGATTGTGTGAGGAAGAACTGAAAGTTTGTGGGCAGTGGTGAAGCCAGGTTTAAAAGACTGCGGAGGAGAGAGTGAAACAGAGACGTGCTACTTAAGCCTTATGTTCCAATAGGAACCCAAGGGAATAATAATAATAATCTGCTCCGAAGGTTTCAAGTGACAGCAGATGGTAAAATGCCCAAAAAGAACCTTTAGTATCCAAGTAAAAAGTTCAACAGCCAATTCATTTTAAACAATCATTATTACAACTAATCTTTTCAAACAATTCATGTGATCATATGTTCCTTAGAAAGGAAACACTTGAGATCAAACTGTTCTATCTAATGACTCTCCATTACAAATTCAATTGAATATTTTCAGAGAACTTCAAGCATCAGCCAATATCATTCATAAATGTGAAAAGTATATACAAGGTTACAATAAGCAGATTGCCTCATACAACGATACATACAGCAGTCAAAATACCTACTAATTCGGTCATACTGTTTCATATATTCTGCGACAGTCATTGATGCCTCTTAGTTGTATAGACATACCCTGAAATATATGTATGTATATACATCTTTCTCCTGATAGGTGAGTAGCCTTCCATCCGCCGCATCTTAGCTCAGTGGTCACAGCACTGGTCTATTCAACTAAGAGTTGAAACCCGAGTTCTGTTTGGAGGCAAGAGTTTAAGCGTTACGGAATGTTACAAACAAATGGTTGAAGACTCTGTGATGTGTCTCAAAGATCGGTTACGATGACGTAGTATTGAATATTTTCAGCAACCTATGTGTATTTACCCTCTCTTCTCTCATTCATACACTTTTATTTACCTTAATATAACTTTTCTATCAACTTCTTTTGTATACTGTTGTGAATTGTGGTAGCTTGGAAATCGAAATCTATCAAACCACAACACTAGGCAACACGATACACTTAGCGTGTGAGGGTCGATGATACCACCTAGCTGCTATCGAAAAATATTCGGTTGGTGGATCTGGGTTCGAACCCATGGCCCATTTACTTGAAAGTCAATTACGTAAACCAATGACCCAAAGCTACACAGCATAGTAACTTGAACCAATAGTACGCTTTTGTATCAGGTTCTATATTCATTTGTTTGTCCACCTAACTGTCTGTAATAAGTGACCGGAATGTTTATAGTGTATGAGTCTGATATTATCATTTTTAACATTCAACTATTAATAACACTAACATTACAGTAATTAGGGTCAGATTACAATACTGAGTAACAGAAGCTTTTAACAGCCACATACAATAAGTAGGATTTACAAAGCAGAGTGAGTACAATA